GTGGTTCCCTATCTTTCTGTCTGCTGTTTCTTGTAAGCAGATGCTTACCTGTGAATACAGTAGTGAATCAAATGGAGCTCCCAGGTTTCTACCATTGCTCTCCATTCTCCTGGTATGTGGGAATGAGGGAATGTTGTGTCTTTGAAGCCCTGTGTGATCCATCCTTTTTTAGGCAGCTTTTTCTTCAGCAGTACTTCTTAAACTGTTATATAATTCATTGATGTCAGGTTCTGAACTCAGAGAAGACTTGGGTTCCAGCTTCAACAACCCCTTTCGTTTCTCTGAACTTCAGTCCTCTCCTGTGTAAAATGTGTAATAACAATAGATGGCACCTCCTTTGCCCAATCTTACAGAATTATGGAAGTCATACGCATAGTACTCCATGGAAATTACAGGCCATCAAATACTGATCAGATATGGGGACCAGCCTCCAGCATACTTGCGTGTGGATTGGGTATAGTGACTCACTTCCAGTGAATGGAAAAGTCAGAAGTGATGGTGGTAGCAAAGTGTCCACTTTGTTCTCTCAGATGATTCTCACTGGCAGAAACCATATCCTGAGCAGTCCTCTGGGAGATGCTGTGTGATGAGTTAGGAAGCTTTCTACTCATCCCAGTCTGAATGAGGGAGCTTCAAAGTGGACCTAGCAGGTTTAGTCTAACATTTAAATTGTGCAGCACCAACCCTTACCTGGACTACAGTCTCATAAGAGATTGCCTACCTGCTCGGTTGGCTGCTTCTGGGTCCCTAACCCTTAATCTTGTGTGAGATCCCAATGACTTTTTTGGTTATGTTAAGGATAGAGCCCAGAGCCTTGCATATGGTAAGCGAACAGGTTACTGATGAGCTACAACCCATATACCAATACATTGTTTAAAGCTGCTAAATTTGGGGGTAATTTATTACATAGCAACAGATAGTATGGATGTCCTTACTGGTCCTTACCTTTAGAATGGTTGATATTCACTATGGTCTCATGTAGAAAAAAATTCTACATTTAGCTTAAGTAGATTACGTAAGTAGGTTTAAATTAGACAATTATTTGATTAGGGACAGTTAACCATCACTGTTTGGTTTAGTACTGTATTTGAGCTCTTCATAATGTAAATTGATTTTTATGTTTTTTTTACAAATTATTTTATTTTTGAGATTATAATAATACCATTCCTTCTTCCTTTACTTCCCTCCAAATCCTCCCATCTACCCCTCTCCTTGCTGTCTTTCAAATTCCTGGTTTTGTTTCCATTAATTACTGTTACATGCATATATGTATATATATATATATATATATATATATTCCTGCTCAGTCTGTATAATGTTACCTATATGTGTGTTTTCCTCTTTTAAAAACACCTTTGTACATAAAGAATGAAATTATATCTTTGTAGGAAAATAGATGAAACTAGAGATTGTAGGTGTTAGTTTTAAAAAGAGTTAGTAGGAGAGCGGTGCAGTTCTCCTAGCTGCTTCCTGCTGGTTAGGGTCACAGGGTTTCTTGGAGCCAGTCCAATTTCATTTCAGGAGATCTCCAACTTCTTGTCTCACAACAGCAACCAAGAGCAGCAAGGAAAAGGCAGGAGCAGCCTCATTCTTTCTCCAGTCTCCATTCTCTGGGCTCTGGCTTTTATTCTCTCTGCAGAGTGCTCAGATTTAAACTCTCTGCAGCTGGCAAATAGCTCCTCTCAGAGCCTGCATGAGGCAAATAGTCTACTGCTGTGGACATCTGAATCAGTCCCACATCCCACACCTGGGACCAAAACAAAAGCATGTTTATATCCACAACAAGAGATCACCTTATACACAAAATAAGTCAGATTCGACAGAAGTGTGTATTTTCTTATGTTTGCGGATCCTTATCCTATATAGATTCATAAATCAGATCTAAACATTACAGACTACGTGGGGAAAGAAATGGAAATAGGAAGAGGAAGGAGAAAAGGGTATGAATATGCCCAAAGTATATGAAATAATTGTATGATTGTTTCTCTATGAAGCCAATCACTATGAACAATGAATATATATCATATAAGATATATATGCCTCTTGAGTATGTGAGCTGTGGTCCAGGTCGGAAAATATAAATCATCCCAGTTGTTTTCATAGAACATTTTCTGAGTACTGAAACTGAAAAGGCAGAAAGGAGACATTAGGAGACCTTCATAAGAATGTGATTGCACAGATGGTAAGGTAGAATCAAAACTTGTTACCTAGGCTGGCCTAAGTACCTCTGAGGGGCCAAAAGCTGCTTCTGGAAGTGTAGAGTGACCAAAAAGAAAAACAAAAAACCAAAACAACCAAACCCTGGATATTAGAGTCAACATCAAAGCCTGCTCACAAGAACAACAAGCATACAGGGAAGAGTAAGTCCTGCTCCACCCTTCTAGTTGCAGAACCTAGTAGGAAGCTGCAGGCAAAGAGGAATGGGAGTATCATCTCCAGCATCACAGATCAGAACAAGATGAGAGCTTAATAAACAGTACACTATTAAATCATTCTGTACTTATAGATCCTTAGAAGAAGCATCCCCTGCCAACACCACTCCCTGTATTAGTCACAGCAACAACAGCCTGTAGGGGATATTACAACACCAACAGTTTCCTTCCTGGGGCACTGGTATTTTCTTACATGGGCAAGTACACATGAGATGAGCCTTCATCTTGACCAGCTTTGCAACTGACTGTAGAGTTTCCCCCTTCATTTTGGCTCTGGAACCCTAAGCTTTATTTGTGCCCCACTGACCTGTTTGTCTTCACCAATACTGACTAATATATAACTTCAAATTGTTTGAAACTAATTTTAATATAAAAGTTAATTTATTTTTGGTCTCACTAACTACATTTCAACAACATCATCATATATAGCTAATGGATACTATGTCAGACTGCACAGAATACAGTCCCATTATTGCAGAACAGTCTGTTGGTCACAGCTGTCCTAGAGTCTTCAGAGGCTTGGACAGGTGAGGATGAAGAATCAACATGAGTTTAACATCAGCCTGGACTATATAGTGACTTCTAGGCTAGTCTGGACTATGTAGGAAGACACTGGATAAATGGTGATGCCGGTCATAGTTCCTGTGAACCCAATACTCTGGAGGTTAACCCAGGAAAATCAAGGAGAGTTCCATGTTAACCTGGACTACATAGTGAGATCCAGACTGGTCTGAGCTACAGAGTAAGGTATTGTCTCCATTAATTAATTGATATTTTATAGGAAATGGAAATGGTAACATGATATTGGCTTTTCAAGAATGTAGTAGCTGCACTGATTAAAAACTCAGGAAACCCTTTTTACTTGTTAGACAAACCCTTTCATTGCTCTGGACATCAGTCATGCTTTGGCTAAGGTCATCTCTAAGCTTTCTGTTTTATTCTAAGCCTTTTTGCCAGTCCATAGTATCTCCTGATGTCATGTTCACATTCCACTTTCTTCTCTCATGCCAGATTTAAGGGAAAAAAAAAGATTTTATTTCCCAAACCCTTTAATGGCCTCTCCAACCTTCCCCTCACCCTATGTCATTCCCTTCAATAGTCCTTTCACATACCTGCTGCCATAGCCAGCTATCAGTTTCCCTGTGGCAAGCTCTGGTGGCTCATGCCCCACAGGACTAAGTCCAAAGTCAGCCTTCAGAAAGGCTAGCCACTTTTTTGTCATCTTGCCCCAGACCAACCATGAGTTGGATATACCCTGGATTCCATACTTGAGCTTTGCTAAAGCTTTTCCCTTTGCCTTGATTTCCTTTGTCCTTTTGTCTACCTCCTTGATCTTTACAGCAAAACTTACTTCAATGACAGTATCAGCTGCTGTCCTTTTGGATGATGTAGGTCATGCTTTACCCAGGCTGCTTCTTATTAATAGCTGATTCTGGCAAAGGTAGAACTCAGCCAGTATGCAAATTCTGACCAGGAGCTCCCTGGTAGCTCTCTTCCAGCAGTGGCTTTTGTGATACCTCCTACCTGATTCTTGCCACCACGCACGCTCCCCTCCCCACCCCTCAACGCGCCCTGTACAGATGGATGCTCTTGTCTTGGCATTTGCTTGTCAGAGAAAAAAATGACACATTGATAATTGCCCTGATTCAGACAAAGTCTAATCAAGCATTTATTCATCCACATGTGTCTCCTTGTAGGTGCTGGGATTCAGACCTGGGACAAGTGGCTGAGGTGGCTATTTAATATAGCAAAGTGAACTTGGCCTCCAGGTTCTTCCAGCATAGCCCTCCCTACCCTCTACACTGAACTTCAGCCCAGGAGCTGGGCTTCCTCTTCACTACATAAACCAGACATTTTAGCATGCTCTCTCTTTTTTCCTTCTCTCTTTCTTACTTTGCACATGCTCTTTCTCTTCTCCCTCTTCTCTTCTCCTTTCTCCATCTCTCTCTACTCTCTCTGCATGTGTGCTTTCTCTCTGCCCTTGCACCTTGCTTTTCTGTCTGCAGGCTTCCCTGACCCCCTCCTGTGAGATCAGTGAAACCACCTGAGAGCTGCCCCCAATAAACCTGCCTTTACATACTTTAATTTGGCTTGAATTGGCTCATTTCATTGCTGGAGAGTAACTATCAGTAGGTACCTCTTTTATAGCACTGCATTTTGGTTGGGAACCAAGCCTTTAATAACTGAGCCAACTCTCTGTCTAACACTGCATTTTACAGTCACTATTCCCACCAAAACCACCACCATTGTGCTCTCTTCTCTACCATGTTAACTCTTTCTGATTAGTTCATTTCTCCTATTCCAGTTTCCCTGTTCTTGGCATGCATTAGCATGTTGAGTTGTGCTAAGTTGTCTTTTTGAGGGACTAAATAATCCTCTTTCAATCTGAATCATGTTAAAGGAAAGCATATTTCATGTCACTGGCAAAAAACAAACAAACAAAAAACCAAATGTTTTATCAAAAAGCCCCATCTACCATTGCTGAAGCAGTTAAATCCATAGACTTATAAATGTATATTAAGCAATATGGTGCCCCCAAGTCTTTGTTCACTTGTTTTTTTTACATAGGGACTCTTCAGTACATGGCACCTGAGATTATTGATCAAGGACCTCGAGGGTATGGTGCTCCAGCTGATATCTGGTCCTTGGGCTGTACCATCATTGAGATGGCAACCAGCAGGCCTCCGTTCCATGAGCTTGGTGAGCCACAAGCAGCCATGTTTAAGGTAAAATAATTTGTTCATTTAGGTGGTTTGAATGATGGTGAAAAACTCCCCAGATGTGAAACACAGGATTTTGTCACTGGCATCTGGCCCTGGCAGAAGGTTCTCACAGCTTGCCTGCCTTGAGTCAGCTTCCTAGACCGTTCCAAGGCCAAGATATAAAATCAAAAGTCTTCTGACCTTTTAGTCCCAAGAGAACCCTGAATGTAAGGGCTGAAAGACAGAAACTACTTCCCCTCAGCACATCAATGACTCTAAAGGATCAATTTGGCATCATTGAAGACCATATCTCAGCTTCCACCACAGGTCTTAGAATCTAGAGCATCTGGTGCTAAGGAACCATTCTGTGTACTTTCTGGGCTGTTGAACTTTGCTCAGAAAGCATAGCTGATAGCCATGAGCTGATTCATCAGGGTAAAAGTAACTTACCCAATTCATCACAGGGTAAAAGTAACTTTCCTAGTACTCTTCCTGTCTCCTGCTTCTGTTGAGCTAATAAGCTACACAAACTCTTTGGAAATGTATTGGCTTTTTTTTTGGGGGGGGGTCAGTTTTTACTGCAAAAAAATGGTGAAAACACTTTTAGTGATTCACATAGGCTGGGCACGTATTACTCCTGTAATCCCAGCATTAGAGGTAGGAATACCAGTAGTTCAAAGCTATCCTCAGCTACATGCCATGTTTGAGGCCAGCCTGGGACACATGAGACCCTTTCTTACACCCACCCCCAGCCATGCACTTGCAAGATGCCAGGTGCTACCTGCTTGGCCTTTTTCATTTTAAGAGCCAGAGAAGAACTGCCTCTTCCCACTTTAGACTCAGGTCCTGAGTTTTTAATCTTCATGTATTCTGATGCTGGTGGGCACTCCATTGCTCAGGTGAGGGGTGCTACAAATAACGCCCTGCATTTCAAATCCTCCTGATTGGATTCTATGCAGCATCTAATATCCTCATGACTCTTGTGGCTGTTCGTTTGTTTGTTTGTTTGTTTGTTTGTTTGTTTGTTTTTCAAGCTATGAGGAGTGGTACCCTGAGAATGGAACATGTCGCTTGGTCAAAGGCTTTGCAGAGATAAAATCAGAAGGCTCTGCCATTTCAAAGCTCAGAGTAGAGCAAGAGTCAAAACCAGCCTCCAGGACAACCAAGGAGTGGGCAGTGAGCACAGATATGAAAGACAGAATGGCTTTTATCTCTGGGTTGAACAGTGGACTTGGGAGAAAGGCATAGGCAGGCAGTGGGAGTTTGGATGACAGCTCCTTAAAAGGCTAGAAAGCAGGCTCTAATGAGAACAATTATGTAGGAAGTCGTTTTACAGGATTCTTCACAGAAGATTCCTATGACATGATGATGGAACATGACATATGGAGACTGACTCTTGCTCCACTATAGGTCACAGGGCCCTCCCTTAGCAGGTCAGGAAGAACTGAAGCTACCTTGATCTTGCAAGTCATAATTGTAAAGCACTTATTCCTCCCTCAGCCAGCGCCTTAGCCAGTTGGGAAGGACATCTTATCTGTAAGATGGACAATTTGCTTATCTATAAAGTGGCATCCTCAGGCTGTGCTTGCTTGTGTCTTGGAGCTAGAGGCTAAGAATCTGGGCTACAGAGGTAAAAGAGATATGGAGAACTGTATGTCTGTTAGAGTTGTTTTGTCGCCCCCTCCCCCGATTTTGTTTTTTTGTTTGTTTAAATTTTACTTATTTACTTATTTATTTACTTACTTATATTACAATTTATTGACTTTGTATCCCTACTATAGCCTCCTTCTTCATCTCCTCCCAGTCCCACCCAACCTCCCTCTTCTCCTCCCAGGCTCCTTCCCTAGTCCACTAATAGGAGATGCCCTCCTCCTCTTCCTTCTGACCCTAGCCTATCAGGTCTCATCAGGGCTGGCTGCATTGTCTTCCTCTGTGGCCTGGTAAGGCTACACCCCCCTCAGGAGGAGGTGATCAAAGAGCCAGCCACTGAGTTCATGTCAGAGACAGCCTCTGTTCCTATTACTAGGGAACCCACTTGGAGACTGAGCAGCCTAAGGGATTCATCTGAGCAGGGGTCTAGGTCCTCTCTATGCATGGTCCTTAGTTGGAGTATCTGTCTCTGCAGGCCTCCATGGACCCAGATTTTTTTTGTTCTGTTGGTCCCCTTGTGGAGCTCTTGTCCCCTCCAGGTCTGTCTCCCGCTTCTTCCATAAGATTCCCTGCACTCTGCCCAAAGTTTGGCTATGAGTCTCAGCATCTCCTTCAATACCCTAATGGGTAGAGTAAAGTAGGTGTAGTGAGATAGGGAGAGCAATGTGTCTCTTGGAGTTGTTTGTTTATTTGTTTGTTTCTCCCCCTCCCCCATATTTTTGTTTGTTTGGTTTGGTTTGGTTTGGTTTTTTGAGACAGAGTTTATCTGCGTAGCCTTGGCTATCCTGGATTTGCTTTGTATACCAGACTGTCCTTGAATTCACATTCATCCACCTGCCTCTGCTTCCCTGAGTGCTGAGATTACAGATGTGTGCCACTGTGTCCAGCTTCTTTTAAAGTCTTTCTCTGGGAAGATAGTACCAGTCTCTGAAACCTTCGAATATTCTCAGCTGGAGGCTTTCCTACCCGGAAATGACCACCCTCTACAGCAGCAATTCTCAACCTATGGGTCCTTACCTGCATAGGGATCCCATATTAGATATCCTGTATATCAGGTATTTACATTATGATTGATGACAGTAGCAAAATGACAGCATAAAGTAGCAATGACAATAACTTTATGGTTGGGAGTCACCACAACCTGAGGAACTGTGTGAAAGGAGCACAGCATTAGGAAGGTTGAGAACCACTACTCTAGAAGCGTAAAACAAAGTTGTCCCTCACAGTTCTGAGTTGGCTATTGGTCTTTTGGTGTTCTTCCCTGGGTTTACTCATGGTGCATCCAACTGGTGGCCTATGCTGGGCCAGGATCTTCTGACAGGGCTCTCCTGCATGGCTGAGGGAACAGTAGGGAGGGATCAGCCACTCTTCTCACATGGCTGTCTAATCCTGGCTCCCTTCTCATCTTATGGAGGTATCCAGACTCCCAAGAGCAAAGTCTACCAAGCTCTTTTTAGGCCTAGGTCCTGAAATCCTCACAATATTGCTTCCCCAACAATTTCCTGGTATAAGTGACAAGGAACTCATTAAAACTTCAGGGAAGGGGAAGTAGACTCCATCTGTAGCTGGGAGGAGTAGAAACATGATGTAGCAAAGGGGCATAAATGTCACCGAGATGACATCATGAGATGACAGCTTCTATTGAAATTCCTTGCACCTGAAGTCACCCAAGGCTGACATTGTTAACTGTCCCTTCAATGCAGGTAGGGATGTTTAAGATCCATCCTGAAATTCCAGAAACCCTTTCAGCTGAGGCCAGAGCCTTCATCTTATCTTGCTTTGAGCCTGACCCGAACAAACGGGTCACTGCTGCTGATCTGCTTCAAGAACGGTTCTTAAGGCAGGTGAACAAAGGCAAGAAGAACAGAATTGCTCTCAAGCCTTCAGGTAAGGCCTACCTTGACAGATGGGGGAAACCCTGGGCTTTAGCTTATCTCATGCTCAGAGAAAGAAATTGGATCCCTGGAATACCAAGCTTCCACATAAATACCACATAAATATGCTGGGCATATTTATGTGAAGAACAGTAAGAGTCCTGGAGGTTTGAAGAGTATACAAACTTAGCCAATTGTCCATCTATACTTCCTGACAAACACAGGAAGCCTTATGGATCACTGTAATGTCCTTTTTGTATTTAAAGTACTTTTTTGAGGAATGTGAAGAAAAGGAAGGCAAAAGGTCCCCCATTTGGGGTTTTGTACCTTTCCCACATATAGAGCCTGGTGCTTCATTTTTGAAGTCTGGCCGGTCATCATGTATTGATACTGACCTTGCTTAAAGGGCACATTGGGGAAGTCTGCCTGTAGATGCTGTCCTGTAGGCTACAAAATCCTACATGACACTTTTACATGTAGTTAAGCCCTGTCCATGAACTAAGACTGGTCTCTAAAAAGAAAATAGTTTGTCCTCTTTTCATTGGATGGATGGGTCAGAGGCTATGGCAATGTGGCTCACCAAATTGCTACAGAAAGCCTAGCCTTGTTGTGAGGTCCACCCCAAACTTATATTTTCACTAAGATCCTTCCTTTAGAGATTGTACCAGCAGAGCAGTCCATGATTAGCAAGCCCTTGTGTGGGAGCCTGGCCGCTCTCTGGCTGTTTCTCCACAGAGGGTGTCCGGAGTGACACTGGCGCTCTGGCCCTGCCCTCATCAGGTGAGCTTATGGGCAGCAGCAGCAGTGAGCATGGCTCCGTCTCCCCAGACTCGCATGCCCAGCCAGATGCATTCTTTGAGAAGGTCCAGGTGCCCAAGCATCAGCTCAGCCAGCTTCTCAGGTACTATCAGTGTCCCTTGTCCCTCAGTGGTGGTCTTCTGCAGGGTGCTGGTTGTTCCTCAGTAGTAGAATACCTGCTTGGTCACAGAAAGGGTTTTTGCAGAGGAGCAGGGTGGCCAAGGAGGTACTTCTTCACCCAGTGTCACTTTTCTGTCCTTTACTCTTCTCTGGTTGTACCTATTCTTCCTCTCTTCCCCTCCACACTTCCCCTTTCTTGTTTCCTCTTCCCCTCACCCTCTCTGCCTCCCTGTCCTCTCTTCTCTTCCTTTCCCTTTACCCTTCCTTTTGGCCCCTTTTCTCTTTGTTTCCCTCCCCCAAGATACCATGGAGGGAGTCAAGAAGGGGAGCGGGGATACCATACATTTTTCCCACCAGCCTTTTTCTACAAGTTCCTTTCCTGGAGTCTCCAGGGCAGAACATGCTACCCTTCCCAGATATAGGAATTTTTGAATGTTTCTCCGCAGTGTCCCAGATGAAAGCTCAGCCATAGATGACCGAAGCACAGCCATATCCCCAGAGGAGAAGGACACTGGTCTCTTTCTATTGTTCAAGAACAGTGAGTGCAGAGCCATCCTGTACAGAATCCTCTGGGAGGAACAGGACCAAGTGGCTTCCAATTTGCAGGAGTGTGTGGTCCAGGTACAGGCCAAGAACGGCATCCAATTGCCTGCTCTGCCTAATCCAGGTCTCCAACAGGTGGAAACAGCAACAACAGAATGTCCTGTGCCCTGGCACATTCTCATAGTTTTAATGATTTCTATACTTATTTCCTGACACCCCTTCCTTTCCTGACAAAAGAAAACACAAAGAAAAATGGTCCTGAAAGGTGAATTTTCAGCCCACTGCAGTGCTTCAGGGCATTGGTAGGCTGGTGCTGCTCCCTGGTGGTAAACAAGCCAGGTGGCATCTGAAAGCCCTGGGAGGCTTAGCGTTCCCTTGGCCTCTTCTCTCATAGAATATAAATCACCCTGAAGCAATGATTCTCAATCTGTGAGTCACGACCCTTTTGGAGCCACATATCAGATCTCCTGAATATCAGATATTTGCCTTATGATTCATAATGCAACAATAAAATTACAGTTATGAAGTAGCAACGAAAATAATCTTAAGGTTGGGGGCTCTCTACATGAGAAACTATATTAAAGGGTTGCAGAATTAGGAAGGTTGAGAACCACTGTCCTAGAACAGCCACTGTAGGGAGAATGGTTATGGAAGAAAACAAAGCTTTAACTAGGTCACAGTAGTATCAAAGTAATATCTCTCCTCTTATTATGGATGGGAAGGTACTTTGAAGAGAGGACATTGCCCTGCTATGAATGCTACCTTCCAAGTCCCCTGTAGAGTGGTCAAACAGGAAAACAGAACCATTCCCAGCTGGCTTAGTACTGAGGTTTTGTCTACCACCTACCAGAGAGGCTCCCCCAAGACTGACAGGAAGGTTATGAATGGAATTCAGAAAGAGACCTTTACACAGAAGTACCCACATTCCATTAGCAAATGAAGTATCTACTTTCCCATGATGCATTTGGAAATTACTCCCCTCTGACTCAAATTAAAATGATTTATGTATATGTATGTCACTTGTTAGAATTCAGAAGAGTTGCTTCTCTCAGTTGGCCACATCAAACAGATAATCGGAATCCTAAGGGACTTCATCCGCTCCCCAGAGCACAGGGTGATGGCAGCCACAATATCAAAACTAAAGTTGGACCTGGACTTTGACAGTTCATCCATCAGCCAGATTCACCTGATTCTGTTTGGATTCCAGGATGCTGTAAGTGCTCTGGGGCCCTGGAGAACATGATAGCCAAACCACAGTTAACTTACCCTGTTCTTCTGTTGCGCCCATTCCTTCTCATTTGTTCACAACCCAAATCTCATATCTCAGCAGCTCTTTGAAAAACATTAGGCACATAGTAGAGAAAGCATCACTTTGTGAAGTGGGCCAACTGCATTTGACCAGAGAGCAGGTATATGTATGGGGAGATAGCATTTGCCAGCACAGTGCATATGCTTTTGTGCCTGCCCAGATGTGTGTTCCTCAAATACCAAAGCCAGGTCAGGTTTGTCTTGTCACATGCTCCCAATACAGCCTGTCATGTCATCGATATTCAATAAATGCTCCTTAAATAAACAACCAAGAGGCCCAATGACATTGATCCCATTGTGATAGTCATCATTTAGAATCCATTGTGACTTAGGTTCCGCCTACAGAGATTCATTCAGAAGAATGAACCAAACAGAAACCAGAGCAGCATAACAGTTCATCTCAGAGGGAATAGAACCATCACAATTAGTGTTTCATAAAAGCTCAACAGAATAGACATACTGATTTTTGAGGGTTTTTTTTTTTTAGGTCAAAAGAATTCTGAAGAACCACTTAATTAGTCCCCACTGGATGTTTGCAATGGACAACATCATTCGCAGAGCTGTGCAGGCTGCAGTTACCATTCTCATCCCTGGTAAGAGCCTCATGAAGGGGACAGGAGCGCCCCACAAGGAGACAAACAAAGCTAAAATATCAGAGCCCATTGGGTCCTGCAGAGACTGATGTACCAACCAAGGACTACGCATGGAGGGGATGTAGACCCTCTGCTCAGATGTAGCCCATGGGCAGCTCAGTCTCCATGTGGATCCCTGAATAAGGCCTCTGTCATGAACTCGGTTGCCTGCTCTTTGATCACTTGCCCCTGGCAATGTGGCCTTAGGGTCAAAGAGGAAGAGGATCCAGGCAGTCCTGATGAGACTTCACAAGCTATGGGCAGAAGGCAAAGGAGGAGAACTCCCTCTTTCAGTGGACTAGGGGAAGGGAATAGGAAGAGGGAGGGAAGGTAGAACTGGGAGGAGTTGAGGGATGGAGCATCAATCATGATATATAATGAATAAATTGTGAAAACAGAAAGATCAGATTCAAGCTGTCAAAAAGACTAGTAGTATTCTAGTGCCCAACAGCTGTTGCTTTTTCTGTTTCCATTTTGACTTCATACTTCCTTGCAGTTAAGTAAATGATGCCATACATCATGAGATGCCAACATCTCATGGTGCCCTTTACTTACCTCCTGGGCATCATGAAGGTAACAGTAAGATTATACTTTTGATCTTAACAGGGAGTCAGTGTTAGAAGGCAGGGATCCTTCTACAACCTCACATACCTTCCTCAGTGTACATGCTCACTCATGCTTATCAACATGGCTTTTTCTTCTCTTAGAATCATTCTGCAATGGCTGTCCTATCGATATTGCTTTATGTGTGTACATGCCCATGCATGTTCATTCTGGTGAACAAACTCAGGCTCTTAGGTGTTCTGAAGCACATGCTGTACCTTTGAGCTATGTGCTCCCAGCCCAGTCTGAGGCTTCCTTTTGGAAATGTTATCATAAGCATAACGCTCTGGCTGAAGATGGCAGGCTTTTAGAATTGTTGCCCTCTCTTCACACTGAGCCCTTCCTAGTCACACTTCTGTCTGCTCTCCCAAATGCTCCCTCGAACAGGCACCAAGCAGAGCACTGGCCTGTTTGAAGCCATTCATGGCTAACTGGCCTTTACATCCCTCACTGTCAGTTTCTTCTCGTGTAAACTGGGAAGGACCATATTTACACTGTGGTCTATTCCAATCATCCCTTTTGTCGGTAGTCCCCTCATACAGCAAGGACTGTATTGAATTGCTCTGTTGAATGCTATTCTGTACCTCGGTCTGTGTTTTCAGAGCTCCAGGCCCACTTTGAGTCTGCCTCTGAGATGGAAGGGGGAGACAAGGACACAGAAGTGGAAGGGGACCATCCCCTAGTAGACCTACTCAGCCAAGAAATACATGGGACACCCAGAGGCACCGGGCCTGGCTTAATGGCTATCCAGGAGGGCCAGCCCCACCAGCAGGACCCAAGTCTCCAACTGAGCGAGCTCAGGCAAGAAACCAACAGGTCAGGATCTCGCACACCTCGTACAAGGCCCTCTGGTCACTATTGAGAACTCTATCCAGGTCTCCGGGGGAAAAGAAATATTCGCCAATAAACTGGGACAAGGGAACCTTTACAACTTCAGCAGAAAAAGAAGACAAAGGTTTCCTTTCCTTCGATGCCAGGAATCAATACAGTGCTTTGTCACGGGTCACAGATTAATTCTCCCTTATCAAAAGCAACACCATCTGAGTTTTGCCTTCATGATAGCCCCTCTGGAGTAGCATGTGGCCCAGCAGAGGACAGCTGGAGTCTGCCCCACAGAAGCAGTTGGGGGAGGGAAGAGGATAGCACTTTGAAGGCACTGATGATGTCCTGTAATCCTTAAGCCTTCCTGGAAGGTCATTTGTTAGGATCCCTAGGCCGACATTAGTAGATTGACTTTCCAACCTTGTTAGTGAATATAATTTCCCTTTGCTCTGGAGATTCACAATTATCAATAAGCTCTTCAACACAATCTTCCACAGCTGCAATCAACTACCTGGTGCTTAGTCCTAGTGCCACTATTTTGCTTGTGGCAGTGCTTTGGATGAAAAAAAAATGGATATTAAAAAAAAACTCAGAAGTTTGATCTTATTTAGATAATTTTTAAGACCTGAAATTTAAATTATCATGATGGCAAAACTGAGGAGTTTTGAAATGATGACAAATGTAAAAATTGGTAGCTTCTTTACAGGAAAATTTGTAATCATCTAACTCAATGCCAATGTGACTAGTTAATAACACAAGCCTGCCTATATTCATGGCCTGGCATAGACGTGAGAATCATTCCCATTAACCAGAGACTCCAGCTGCTTAGTGAAGGCGGGCAGAGCAGAGGTCAAAGGGTTTTTGGCTTGTCGGATGCTAGTATTTTGCTCCTTGTGGTCTTGCTGTGGTAGAAGCACCCACCTCTCTCACTTCACTTTGCTACCAAATGACCCCTAAACAATGCTCTCATCCATTTATATACTACGGCTATGCCTTTTCAGGGCAACATCAATAATGAACTTCAATAATTTAAAGCTTAGTCCTACCGTCCTTTGTTCACCAATACAGATAAACTAGTTTAAGAAAGGCATGCTATGTGGTTAAAATAAACTAATCTTGTTTATTAAATACATGAGCAAACAAAAAAGGCTAGCCATGGTTCTGACTTGCTACTCTGTTCCCTCCTGGTGTTAATGAGCTAGCATGGGGACATCCAGAAGTCTGAAGCTTAACTGTACCAAGATTTGCCTTTCATGTCTCAGGAAGAGAGACCATAAATAAGACTGTCACAAAGTGAGTAATGGCCCACCTCTGAGAGTAACTTGCTTCAAGAAACTGTGCATGGAAAAGAAATGTTTACTTCCTAAGAATTGTTTTATGGTATAAATGCTCTACAGGCAGTCCTGGGTGCTTAGAGTACTCGGTGCTAGCAGCATGCTTCCTCACCTGTTCTCACCAAAATACTACTCTCTTGCCTTGGCTCTTAAGGAGTGGAGAAAGAAGGCTGCCCATTCAGGTACTTCATCTGACTTGGTTGTAATAATCAGATGGTCCTTCTAGCCAAGTTTTACTGATCAACAGGAAACTTACTTTTGGTTCCTGATACATTTTGAAATGAAACTGTCTTAGTCCACAGAGGCTACTCTAAAAAATAATCATCATCATGATGTTTATTTCTCACAGCTCTGCAGATTGCAGTCAGAGATCAAAGTACTGGCAGATTTAGTGTCTGAGGGTCTGCCTTCTGGTGTACAGATAGCTAGATACTCTCACATTTCCCCAAATGGTAACAAAGAACTAATTTCCCCTTCTCAAGGTCTCTTAATATATCATTTAAGGGACACGAACATCAACTCCATGGCAGAATACACCCACACTCTCAGTATTGGGTCTTTGCTGTCAAGAAACAGTTCTCCTATACAGGCTGAAGCCTACTGGACAAAAACGTTATCTCATAACCCACATGCTCGGCTTTGTGGGCCCAGACTTAGGATTATGCCTTTTTCTAATAGCTAATGTTTAACAAATGTTTGAATTGAAATGTGGAGACTTTTATGAATGAGTTTTTGTTTTGTTTTTAAACAGACTTTGGAAACACCTAGTTCAAAGAGAGAGAGAGTACCAGAATCTTCTACGGCTAACTCTAGAACAGAAAACTCAAGAATTACATCACCTCCAGTTACAATACAAACCCAGTGGTAAGTCACTTTCCCTTTGCTGTGATGTTTCAAAGAAGGACAAACTACTAAAAATCTGACTTATGCCTTGAAGAAATAGTTGATGTTACTATACAGTAAACTGATTCTAGTCAGTATTCTAGAAGAGGCAAAACTATGTGGACAGAAATCAGAATGGGTAGGGGGAGAACTCAGAAGATTCAGAAAGGACAAGACTGTGAGTCATTTTACAACCTTAGGCATTGGAATGAAAAACTGAAAGCTCTGCTACATCTTTTTTTTTTTTTAATTGTATACGTGTTAGAACAGAGATCACAAGGAATGTGGCCCCGTGGTCTAGGCAAACAAGGTTTTTAAAAGACAAAACCACAAGCAGGGACTTACATGCCTTTGAGTTACATGATTGGGTAAGGGAAATTGACTTTTGAAATGATTGGTCCACTTTAGGCACCAAGACTACAAACAGTTCTGGCCTGGTCATATGGGCTGGTTTTCTAGCAACTGTATAATTAGTTATAATTAGCAGGGAAAAAATGCATTAAAGCTAGTTTCTTTTCCCAGGTTGGGAGCTTTAAACGTTAAAATAATACCCACTGATTTTTAATTCTTTTGTCTCTCATTCCCCCTTCCCATTATCATTTGAAGACCCAATCTTGGGTCTTCCAGATACGACCCCTGGAGTCCTACAGATTTACCTTTCCACAATGGGATTTGAGTACCATTAACTGTACCGCTCCCAAACATTCCTTCATGAAAGCCATCAAGCAATTTAAAATACAAGGCCCAAAGGTAAAAATCAAAATGAGTTAGGGGGCCCTTCAGGGTGCCTATAAGGGTAGTAAGCCAAGGAGAACTACCATACCAGGATTTAAACCGTCCTCTGGAATCTTTTCTCTCTAGGGTCTCTTCCAGGCTTTTTGTTCAGTTGCTGCAATACCAGTTCCTCCTCCAGCTCTGCTACATCTTAACAAGCTTCTTTGAGTTCCAGTGTAGTGAGGAATCCCCAGTGACAAGACACTTTAAAGATGAGAATGAGCATTTAAATGAGACTGCTAGCTCAAATCCCGAACTTAACTAAAGGCATCTTAGGTAGAGATGACTACTCTCTGGAAACGGAACACAAAAATTATAAAAGTAGCTGAATCAAATAAGTTTATTTCCTTTTCACATCACATTTACATTGTTTGGATATGTCATTACATCCACTTTGTTACTTTTGAAGCATTTTATGGTTATACATCACTGTACAATAAAACAAAATTGGAATCATAGGTGGTACAGAGAATCCAGCACCCCCTGATGGACTGGGAACTGACAGAGAGCTTATAGACTGGTTACAACTTCAAGGAGTGGATGCAAATACAATAGAAAAGGTAAATTTTAAACCAAAGTATTCCTATGACATTACTGAGAAGCTGCCTATCCATAGATTGAATCTTTGTTTCAGATTGTTGAAGAGGATTATACACTTTCTGATATTCTCAATGATATCACTAAGGAAGACCTAAGATCCCTCAGACTACGGTAAGAGCTTCCAAATAATTGGAATAGAATTTTTTTAATGTGAATCTTTAAGAAAAATGCTGCTTCCCCCAATCTTTGAAATACCTTTCCTATGAAATATCTTTCCTATGTCTTTATCAAACACAACTCATTTACAACTCATTTTCCCAGGTTCAGGTGGGGAGGCATGAGGCACGAGGCCTTTCCACACCTCTACACAGAGCCAAAAGCACCCCTATGGAACCGTTTCCACACAAAGACAACATACTTTTTCCCTTAGAGTTAGTTGGAGATTGCATTTGAAGAGTAGGTGGCTGGCTTAAGTTTGCTTTTCTCACGCAAACTCTTGTTTTGCAGCGGTGGTGTCCTCTGTAGGCTCTGGCAAGCAGTCTCCAAGCACAGAAGACAAACACAGGAGTCCCCACAGTGAGCTAAGCTGGGGGGATTGAGCAAATACTCTGCACCTGCCTATGGTTAAAGCTTCTATTTGTGTACGCACAGATCCGGCGTTTACAGGGAAAGACCCTTTGTTAATTTAACTCAAGCACAGAATTTTACCATATCCTTGTTTATAAATAAAATTGTATGTTGTATCAATCTTGACCTAGTATATTCAATTCTTAGGATTATATGTTTCCTTTAAAAAGTCAGCATAACTTATAGCAACTGCTGGAAAAAATAAAGCAATATTTTATAAGCTAGTGTAATACTTATATGTGAAAGGTAAAATGTGTGCCTTGCAGTAGAAGTACATGTTTCTTAAATGTTTAAATGGAGCAAATTAAATTATTTTACATTTGAAATGACTCTTAAAGTACCTTTATTTTATGTTGCCTTATTATACATACATAGCCTTATGATCGGCCATGATGTTCTGTGCCAACATGCCTTAGCCTCCACAATTGAGGCTATTCCTCAATTATTCCTGTTATTCCTATGTATGCCTCCATGAGGACATAGCTATGATCACATCACCAAGTGCCAGAGTTATTACTTTTAGTAACTGACGGAGGATATGATGAAGTAAGGTTATAATAGCTCTACATTACCCATTTCAAATCCTATACAAATCCATTACACTTATTCACATGAAAACACTGAGTAGAACAATGTATAAACTGCATGCAATTTGCTCTCCCTAAATTTACATGTTTTCAAGGCTTTTGTTGTCTTTAAAGTTGAGGACACAAAGTGTTCCTTACAGTGGATGAATACCCATCCATTGGATAGTCACCCATTAACTGACTGACTTAAACTTGATCCATTGATTGGCACCACGCACTTCAAAGGGAGGATCGCTGCTGTAGATGTGATAGCCTAGCTCCTCCAAGGGTGGCTCTGGATCAGCGGTGGCAAACTGGGCAGCATCCTCAATTTCTTTCCTCACTTCCACATCAATCTCCTAAACACCAGATTACAATGCAAGAGATTTTTCAATCAAGGGCAGTATGACTCTTCAACAGTTATAAAGATACCTTAGAGACAGCATATGAATTAAAAATGGAAAGTGTGTCTTTAGAGAAAAGGGAGAAATCCAATTTTTGTACAAATGTGATTAGTTACTTAGGCAGTGGCCTATCTTTTCAACTCCTTAATTAAATGTGGAGGCCAGAGTTGATATCAGGTATCGTCTTTCATTGCTCTCCACCTTTTTTTTTTCCTGATAGGACCTCTATCATTGAGGCCAGGGCTTATCAGTTTGGCCAGAATGCTCCAAGAATCTGTTTGTCTTTGCCTCTATCCCGGGCCAGGGTTGTATACATGCACCAATGTGCCCACTTTATGTGGATGCTGTAAATCCAGACTTGGGTCCTCATGCTTCTACATCAATTACTTTACCAACTGAGCCATCTCCTCTGCCCTGTAACTCTTAATTCTCAGCAGAAAGCCCCAAAATAGCCCTGTGAGACTTCAGAGCACTTTCTGAGCTTGAAAATCTCAACTGGTCACCAAACGGTGACATTTTGTGAGGTGTGGGAAACTGGTCACAGAGTACCCAACTTTAAAGCCAGCTTAAACCTCCTAGAGCAACTGTACCTTTAATTCTTCAACACTTGCGAGATTGCTGTTCACCATTCTATCCTTGAGAAGCATGATAGGGTCGCTCTTACTTCTTACTTCCTGGATTTCTTCTCGAGTGCGGTAACTATGGGAAAGGGAGATACACTGACAAATGCATAAAAACAGCGCCCATGGACTACACAGCTTACTGAAGTACAGGAGTATGTTTTTGAAAGAACAAGTTATTAGCAATGTCGCTATAGGAATAGCAGGGTGGCAGGCTCTTAGGTGTCTTTTATAGAAAGTTAATTCACTATAACTTTGCATTCTGACAAGGGAAGATTCACTTCTTGATCTGGAAGGCAGAGCCACCACTTCTACCTCTTTTAGCCTCAAATTTTCACATGGATAGGGTAAGGGGGCTAGCAATGGTGATAATTATATAGGTTCTGAAGCATCACAATACCTACAAAGCAGGAAATATATATGCCTTACCTTTCTGACTAAGACTCTAAGCAGGGTCACTAAGACTCCTAAGCAGGATGGCCAGCAAAATTTTGGACACAAAATTTCAGACTGATTACCTTTTCTTATATTGTACTTGAAAAAAACATAAGCAAAGGTTCTATGACAGGACAGATAATACATAAAACCATTTGCCAACATAATTTGTTCTGTCTTCCTTTAGTCTATTTATTAAAGGCTAAACTTTAAACTGACTTCTTTCAACTGTGTTAAGCCTGCTAATTCAGAATTACATGTTAAAGCTAAGTGAAAAAGGACAACTTAAACTTCTCTTGTGGCAGTTAGCCTTGCTCCCTACCAGTGAGATTTTGAAACTCTAGTCCTCTTCAGGTCGAATATGTCATGCCTGAATTTGGGGTAATACCTAAACTAAATGACCCCCCCCCCCAACAATTCTCTATCATCAGACCTGCCTTACATTTACTTCTACACTGCAATTCAGTTACATAATGTGCTTTTGAGAATTACTGCTCAAGTGGTTACCAGCAGTTAGGGAGGCAGAGGTAGGCAGATCAAGGCCAGCCTGGACAGCCAAGGCTATATAAAGAAACCCTGTCTTGAAAAAAAAATTCTGTTTAAGTGATATTCAGGCAGCTTTCGAACTAAGATTCAAGAGAACCACTTAATATCTGGTTTCAACAAAAGCCAATGTTGAGATACTGTACCATTTTGTTTAAGTTAGCCCAAAGGCAGCCCACCCACTGTGGAAACCACACTCAATATTCCTCATGACAGCAGGGCGCAGTGTCACACTCCTATAATCCCAGCACGAGGGGAGGCAGAGAGAGGCCAGCCTGGCCTCTACAGAGCAAGCCCAGGACAGTCAAGGCTATACAGAGAAACCCTGTCTCAAAAAAAAAAATAGCTTAAAGATTCTTCATGACTTACCTGACTCCAGGGTCACTCATACTATGTCCATGGTAACGATAAGTCTGTAGCTCCATTAAGATGGGCCCCTAAAACAGAACCATTAGTGATTAAGACCATGGGGGTGTACGCTGACAATCATGGACCTCAACTGGAGAACCCCCTTGACATTCAATACATTCTTATTCTATATATCTGAGTTGTCAAGAGTTTACTGGCTGGCTTTTTTTTTTCTTTTCTTTTTTGGCTTTATTGAGATGAGGTTTCTCTTTGTAGCCCTGGCTGTCCTGGAACTCATTCTGTAGAGCAGACTGTCCTTAAACTCTTGGAAATCTGCTTGCCTCTCTGCATCCCGAGTGATGGGAATAAAGGCAGGTGCTGCCACTGCATGACTTACTGGCTGATTCTCAACACCATGTTTCATCCTTCTCAATTTTACCAAAAAGTGACCTGCAGGGGCGTGTTTTCTGAGCTTGAAGAACAACTAGTTAAACTTTGCTACCTGAACCTCCCTTTAAGCCAGTCTCAGTGTTCTCCTTTCCCTGGGTGCCGTACACTGATGGGTAAAGCACCAAGACAGATTACATCTGAATGGCTACTATGTAGGTAAAATCACGCACTGTAGGGACTCCAAGTTTGATCATTTAAGGGGCTTACAGTTAACAGAGGAAGGGAACACATAACTAACCAAATCAAACAACAAATGACAAAACAATGATAAGTTTGATGTCAAAGTGAAAGAAGACAACGCAAGAATAAAGGAAAAACTGGAGTGTTTACCAGGCAAGCAAGCACGACCATGCTACCTCGCTAGACTTTGTATTAGAAAGCTCACTTTTAGTCATTACCCTAAAGCTACCCGGAAAAGCTTCTTTTAACTTTCACATGAATGTCATTATATAGAAATCTATTACCCCAGAGCCTATGAAAAGATGGCCAGACTTACCTTACCAGACCTACAATAGGCAGCTGCAAACTTTGTTGCTTCTCGGACACACAAAATATCCATTCCATCTACCTGTTAAGAAAGGCAGGAGAAGCAGAATGTCAATGAACTGTTCAAACCCATTTCACTTTTATTGTGGTGCTGAAGAATGGAATCCAGGGCCCACCACATGCTAGGCAATTGCTCTGCCACCGAGTCACACCTTCTGCCCTCCCATTCAACTTTTTTTTTTTTTCTGAGACAGGGTTTCTCTGTGAAACTGTGGCTGTCCTGGAGCTCACTCTGTGGACCAGACTGGATTTGAATCCACAGAAATCTACCTGCCTGTCTCCCGAGTGCTGGGATTAAAGGTGTGCTCCACCACCATGCGGCTTCCCATTGAACTTTTATATGATTTATTCAGGCATAAGCCGATGAGACCATAAAGCATCTAGCTGACAGGGTATGGCTGTCTACACTAAGGAACCTTACCCTCAGTCCAGGAATAAAATCTCCTCTTTTGTAGTAATCCGTACTGGCTGCTGCTCTCTCAACAGATGTACCCATGCCGTAGCGGTTATTCTCACAGATGAAAATACAAGGTAATTTCCACAATGCGGCCATATTGTAAGCTTCAAATATTTGACCCTGAAAATATTTTAAAAAATGTTCCAAGTGGTTTAACTTATTATTCCTCTAGACCTTTTCACTATTCCTAACAACTGTTGCTCTGCCTAACACAGAAAGCTTGCACAAAGGCTGGCCTTTATAAACCAACTTTCCGGTGGTGAGAGAAAGGAGCAGGTGTTGGCCATGGTAGGGAGATGTGGTTTATACTGTGTGACTCGTATACATGTTGGGAGACTACTAATACAGAATATACTGCAAAGAGGAAATGTGGAAAAACACTGAGCTACCAATTAGTTTTATGCTAACACTAAATCTGTCAGAGCCACTTGACCATCATAATCAGAGTGAAACAGCAGCATCAGAACCTGTCAAGAGGTAAGTCTCCCATCTGGCCATAAAACCAAATGTGAGTTTGCAGCCTGAAGTCCTATTTCAGTTAATACACAGTATGCCATTTCTTTCTAAATTCAAATACGACTAGTCACAACTTAGAAATT